TGTTCAATGGGGGTAGGGATAATCCTCATTTGCAATTGTGGTGAGATGACAGTAGTAAAAATGGCTAGAACTTCAAAGAATGCTGGAAGATATTTTTGGGGTTGTCGTAACTACAAGGTTATGTGAATAAAAATATTTCTAATTAAAGTCTATTTTCTTTATGTGTTGATAATTAACATTGTGTTTGATGAATAACAGAGTGGACCTGCTAATGTGATGTGTTGTAACTATTTCAAGTGGTGCAATGAAGAAAATGTTGATGAAAGAGATGTTATCATTGCTAGGAAAGGAGGAAGATTTGTGACATGGAGAACATAGTGAAAGCTTTAAAGAGAAGGATCCAATTATTAGAAGTAATGGTGTGTGTTCTTAGTGTACTGATCATAGTTATGTTGTGTGTATTTTTAGGTTGATGTGTTGTAAGTGTGTTTTTAGGTTGATGTGTTCTAAGTGTGTTTTTAGGTGGTCTCATTGTTAGGTGGCCCCATTGTTAAGGTTGGGCGACTGTCTTTTGTAATAAATCAATGAATGAAATGTGTATTAGTGTTGAATTGTTCAAATTAGTCCTCATTTCAGTTAATTATGTGCGAATGTGGTCCCCATGATGACGAGTGATGTGTGCATAAAATGGAAGTGGACAAAATCAATATCAAAACATGGGTACGTGAAAACATTAAAACAATATGTTTTCATAATCAGAAGTCAGTTTATGGGTACATCAAAACTTCAAGTTACTATATAGCACATGATAACAGATCCAGTGCTTAGTATATCAAAACATTATAAAGGACATGAGGTCTTAATTAGTAAAGTATTTCAAAACAGATCCAGTGCCAAGTGCGTAATGCTTTGTAGAAGATAAAAGTACACCAAATTTTTAACATTATAAAGTAGAAGGTCTCTTAATTGGTAACTTGTCCCTTCTGATTGGCTGAGTTGGTTGTTCTGTGGATTCCTATGTTGGTTGGGGTGGTGCATCACATGGTTGTGTCATTTCTTAAGTTGGTGATTGGGGTGATGCTTTAGATGGTTGTGGTAGGCCTGATTGATCTTGAGGACGTAAGGGGCATTGATTTCTATTATGCCCAACAATACGACAAATGCTACATTTTTTGCGGTGGCCACCTTTGGTCATTTTGGTTTCATCCCTCCATAGCTCCCAACTCTCCAACCTTCTCTTTTTCTTTGGTTTGCTAGGTAATTTTCTCTTAAATGGTGGGAGGACGTCTGGGAAGGCTGTTCTTTCCCATAAAAGGTGCCTATTCAGTGGAAATATGAGGGACGCATATGTTTCATCATACGTGGACCTTCTGAACCAAATGGGAACATACTCTTCTGGATCTAAATTTAAGAATCTCATTGCTACAATTGCATGGCAGCAAGGGATGCCACTAATGACCCATTTCCTGCAGGTACACTCTTGACTGTCCAGGTTGAGTGCAAACTTGTTTGTAATCACTGCAAAATGCCTAACTTTAAACATTTTTTCTCCAGACCAACTGCCATGAAGTAATACATGATTAAAAGTTAAATATGAAGTGATGAATATCAATAATTTTATCACAGACCAAGTGACATGAATTAATTGTGGGAAAGGAAATTCTTACCTTGGGATCCAATTTTTGGATAAATTTGATTCTTTTGTAAGTCTCTTTCTAATCTTGGGGCAGATGTGAAAGTCCATATTACACATCTTGATTATGTTGGTTGCCCATTTTTTCATGAGGTAAACTCTAATTTCCTCTAGCATGGTTATAATGGGTTTTCCTCTAGCATCAACAATAACACTATTAAAAGCTTCACTCATGTTATTTACTAGTGCACATACTGCTCGACCTGTAAATCTAGATCTAGACCAATACCTGTTACAAAGAATAAGAAATCGTTAGGAAACTAAAAGTATATAACAGGAGGAACAATAGAGAGTTAAGGTAGGACGAATACCTTGGGGGAATAGCGATTAGGTATTTGTAAGCCTCTACATTGACATCCTTTATATTTAACATTTCTCTTTCCCAAGCTTGGGGGTATGTACTAGTAGCCGCCTTCCACATCAGATTCTTCAAGGTGTGTCCTCTGAAATTTTTTCTGAAATATGTATATAAGTGTCGCATGCAAAATTTGTGCTCTGCCCCAAGTAAAAGTTCAAACATAGCTGGCAGCAAACTTTGTGAAAAGGAACCAAATTGAACATTTTTAACAAAAATGGGGACCAAAAATTATATCAGTAATATTAGAAACCAATTCAGAGAGATATAATAAATAGATATACCTTTTGTTGGTCAGACATAAAAGTGCACGAACTACATACTTCAGTGCCCCCAAGGTCTTCTATCAACAACTCCAAAAACCATATCTAAGTTTCTTTATTCTCTACTTCCACAATTGCATATGCCAAAGGTAACATCTGCTCATTAGGATCTCTACCAACAGCGGTTAATAACTCCCCCTTGTACTTTCCTTTCAGAAAACATCCATCCAAACCAATAAAGGGCCTACAAGAGACGAAACTATTCTTGCAAGCTTTCAAACAAACATAAAACCTCTGAAATGTGGTCTGACCATTTTCATTATCCACTTTAACTTTGATTGCTGATCCAGGGTTACATCTCAATAATTCATGTGCATAGTCATATATTCTGGTGAACTGATTTTTAAATGAACCTTCAACTTTGCATGATGCTATTAATTTTTCCCTACGAGCTTTAGATATTGTGACATTTGTATTCCATTTCCTCAAAGCTTTTGATCGTATTTCATTTATCTTCAAATTCGGATTTTCATGTAGTGTGGTATCTAATCACTCAACCACTTAGCATTCATCATTTTGATATTGAATTGCCTACTACAACTATGCGTATCCAATATTTTTCTCAATTGCCATGTTCTACATCCTTCTAAATATCCACAATAAGCCATCCATGGACATTTTTTTGGGCACCCAAGCATCTCACTCGTACCCTTTTGTTGTCATTCTTAACAAACTTTAAATTCCTTCCCGCATGGATGACATAACTTCTAACAACCTCCATAAACTCATTTTTATCACTAAACTTTGTTCCCACTTCCCACTTGTATTCTGACATACTTTTTTGCTTAACAAATGTCTCAAATGGACCACAATTTTGCCTTTCATCACCTCCATCCTCACTTCCACTTTCTTCTGGACTGTCTAAAAATTCCGAGTCCCACTCATTATCAAACAACCCCATATCATTTGAGTTTCTTTGCCTATATGCACTATCATGTGTTTCTAAATCATAGTTGACTTCATTTTCACTAACTTCTACTAACACACACCCTTCTATATTGTTATCTACCAATTCATCAATATTTACATCAACATCAACTACTCCTTCATCTACTTGTATTTCATCCACTTGTTCTTCATCAACTACTCCATGAGGAACTTCACCATGCACCACCCCTGCATCCTCATCCTCACTTGAAGTAAATTCTTCAATGACTACTTCTTCATCCCCTTGCCAGTGTTGTTCAATGATAACTTCCTCCTCCTCCACCCCAACATTTTGTTCAACCATATCCTCCCCTTGCACGTTTACTACATCCCCTGCACGTTCACTTCATCATCCCCCAGCTGCACGTTCACTTCATCATCCTCCACCTGCACAACCACTTCATCATCCTCCACTTTATTATCCCCATTCCCACCTACATGGCTACCTTCACTCTCTATACTTGCATGACAGAGCAATGTAACTTCTTCATTTAATTCACTTTCAACAATAATCTCTAGCTCATCATCCACACCGTGGACCACAAACAAGTGAACTTCCCCAAAAAACTTGGCAATGTTTATCATGTTCATTGCATCTCTGTCATCATAGAACTTATGCAAAATATTTTCAATGCAATAAAATAACTCAGACACTTTAATATACCCCAACTCTTTAATGGAATCTACCACTTCAAAATAACTCCATTTGTCAGGGTCCACACTCCAATAAGTGACTTCCCCACCAACATATTCAAAAGGTATATCCTTTACCAGGGTCCTACCATGCTGGATCACAATATTAAATCTCTCCTCAGACATTCCAAACGCAAGCCTATAAAATGAACTTTATGAGTATGAGACCACTATGGAAACACTAAAAGTAACTGCTGTGTAAACGCTAAAAGTAACTGGTAAACCGTATGGGAAACCAAACCAAAATCATAAACAATAAACCAACAATCAAAACTCACCCACACAACCAATTATAATATGTTACACAACAATGTCCTAAACAGTTCGCACAATTTTTCAACAAAATCTAACTTTGGCAAAATCTAACAATCACATTTAAAACATTTTCCACATTTTACACATTTTACACTGTTCAACAAAATGTTACATAGGAATGGCACAACACAGAGCTTAGATTACGAGATTACGAATGCATACCTGACTGCCAAAGATCAATGCCTCCAATTTCAAGTGGACATCACTTATGTTCTTCCCAATCTTCCAGATTTCGCTACCAAACCACGTTAGAACTTTGATTCTCAGCCCCCTTAATTTAATTTTGAAAACAAAAACCCTAATATCTGTAATTGCACTTTCAAAATTATTAAATCCAACACACTGTGTCTGAAGGGAATCCACGTAGGCAGTTAAATGCCATCTCATTACTCTTTTGCACACTTGGACTGTCGATCGTTAACGATTTAAACGTCGTTTGCAAAAAGGATTAAATTGAACATAAATTACATTATTTAGAACAACATTAAAAAAAAAAAAACTAGAACCATTTTAAATAAATCCGACAAAGAGCATCAATTAAGCCAATTTAGTATATATGATTTTTCGAAGTAGTTAGCTAGTAAAAGATAAGGTATATGTATGATCGAAAGTTCTTGGTATTTTCGTGGTTCTAAAGTCTCGTACCGATGACTTGTCAAAGATGGTATAATTCAAAATTTATAAAGGATTATATATATAGGCAAGACGCATGTACGAAAATGTGATGATATAGAGATTTACAGTGAAAAGAAACATGGCTAGACACTTTGTTGTGGTTGATGGTGGTGAGTCAAATGGAGGTGAAGAGGCTTTGGTGCTTCATTCTTCACCTATATTTTTGTTTCTCATGATTATTGCTTCTCTTTCCATCATTTCAATCATCATATTTGCTTGTGGAGACGACAACAAAGATACCAAGCGTAGGCGTGGCGACGGTGGTGGAGGGGGTGGCGGTGGATGTGGAGGTGGATGTGGAGGTGATGGCGGAGGTGGAGGTGATGGCGGAGGTGGCGGTGGAGGTGATGGCGGAGGTGGCGGTGGGGGTGGAGGTGATGGCGGAGGTGGAGGTGGTGGTGGCGGATGCGGAGGTGGTGGAGGAGGTGGTGGATTCTGAGGTGGCAGAGGAGGAGGTGGTGGATTTTAGAAGCTATCTATTTGCAAAGTGCATAGCAGACTGCACGTTGAAACGTATTCTTGGTCACAGTCTCTTGTTTCATTGTGAAGTGCAGCTTTGTGATATATATCCATTAGAGACCTTAAACGTGTCTTTTTACATCAGACAACATTGTAGGAATTTGTTGTACTTTGTACCGATGTCTTCTTTTCATCTTTGTGAAAATAATACATTAATATTTATGAAGGTTTTTGATGTTGTATAATGAAAAGAAAGTTACTTATGTTTGATTACAATTAAGAAATAAGAAAGAAAGATTGTTCCTCATTTTAAGCAAATTTTGTTATGCTATAGTAGAGCCACCAATATCATTAAGATTGGATAAGTAATTCAATCCAATTAAGCGAAACTTTCATCTAGATTTGTGATGACCAAGTCTTTTCAACAGACCTTTAGAAAAATCAAATTGACAATTAAGTTTTCCAGTAGATTCAGCATATTCAACATATCCATAAGTTTATCTATATTTCCTCTTCCATTTAATGATAGTAAATACTTCTTTTAGATTTTAGGAGGAATTAAATTGTTTTCTAGTTTTATTTTTATTTAATGACTCTAATACGTAATTTTATAATCGTCAGACTACATAAAATAAATATAAATCAAAGGAAAATAATATGTATATATATATATATATATATATATATATATATATAT